GTTTTTTGGATTTGTTTGTGGGTGGGTTTTTATTTTTGTTTTTTTTTTGGGGGGGGGGGGTTTAGTAGCAGGGCATGGGAATTTGTTCTGATAAACTTAAAAAAACAAAAAGCCATCAAGAACATCTCTTATAAGATAGACAATGAGTCAAATACCTGTAATTGTCAATCAGGTTAAATGTAAGCGTGAATGTCAATAATTTTTGTACTAACAAGGCCTCAAGAGCTTTTCAGAAAACATGTTGTTGTTTTTTGTTTTGGTCAAAAACTCTGATACATAAAAAATGTTTTAAGAGTACAATATTAAGGGTGTGATATAAACTAGCTATGGAAGGACATCCAAAGTTAAATCTGACTTCATCTTTAACTGCTGCTGCAATGTCTAGGTGTCACATGAATGCCACATTTTCTGATCTTCTATAAAATCAGTGCTGCAATATCAATGCACAATGGCACAAATTAAGGCAGAGCATGAGCCATAACTTTGGCTTTTGTTCATCTTTGTCATAACCCTAACTGTCTTTCCTTCTAGGGTGAAATTTTTCATGTCTCATATTTAAATCTATTTTTATGTGTGTGGGTTTTTTTTATAGTTTCCCTTTCCACTTTTGCTAAAGATTAATGATATATGTGTGATCAATGATTTCCATGTGCAGAGTTTTGTGTAACAACTGATGGCAGGGTATGGTTTATTTTGTATTTAAATAAAGACTTTTGCCCAGCTAGCCCATCTTTTAACTAATTGTGTAGTAGAGTCATAATGCAGAATTTATCATACCACAGCAATATAGTGCTATTCCAGTTACAATCCTTAGTGGTATATTTTATATATCATTCCATAGGTACACATGGTGCTTACTTTGTCTCCTTAAAAAGTGATCTGAGAAAGCAGCCCAGCAATTCATTTCCTTAGCCCACCAAAATTATCACTTGCTCAGAAAGCAACATACTAATCCTAAAACTGCACTGAATATTGTTAAATATTAATATAGCAAAGGAGAACAAGAACAAACTGTTGTTTTTTATTTTCTATTTTTGTAGAGGGGCATCCCGGTATGGGCTCTCCCTGCTCTGACTAACCAGGGTATGAGCCTAGGAGGACTTGTACTTTCTCTAGGCAATGACTCAGGAATTTGGGCTGCTTAGAGGAGGAACTGTAGGCTTTTCACCAGTCCTTTCATTCTAGCACATCATTTTTCACTCTTTAATCCCATCTCTTTCCCAACATCCAGCACTAGCTGAATTGCATTGCTACTTGACAATCAGCTTCCAGGAGACTATACTCTGCCCTTTCCTCCTCGAAACAAAGAGATGTGCCTGTATAAAAGCTCCCAGCTGCTGAGAAATTTAAGTCCTGATGCAGGGAACCCTGGCAGTGGATTGCGCTGCCAGCCAAGCCACCATACTGGCCTTATTCTTTTAAAAAATATTTGCATTATGTAGTTCCCAAGATTTTATCATGTATTGCTCACCTTAGGAAAATTCTATATCCTCATTTTGTGTGTGTGTGTGTGTGTTCTGTATTAACTGTGATGGCACATAGCACATTTTGGATCTAAAGTGGGAAATCAATACCATAAAGTAATCCCATAACTGCACAACGGATTTTTATGCCAACCAAGTCTTTAATTGTCACGGCTTTCTTAATACACAGAGCTGCCATATGCACTCAGAGCTTTAATTTTTGTTAAATTATAACGTATTCTTCCTTCTACTTCTTATCTAGCTGTTTTGGATTTTTTTTTAAATAGCTGAGTTTTACCTAACTAGTCCAAATATTTCTCTTAAGCAATGGACAAATAAGCAAAGACGAAAGCATGCAATTTGCAATAGCATAACATAGGTTATTATTATTATTATTATTTTATTATTTTATTAGACTTAAAAATCTATCCAAGTATTTAGGGGTTAAGTCTTTCAGTGAGCGTCTATGACCCAGGATATTAACATTCTAACCATGTACTCTTGTTCTTGTGGGAGCACACTAGCATACAGAACCCATCAGTGCTTGATCCCCTAGATCCACCCTGGCAGCACCCTCGGAGCAGAAGCATTTCCAAACAGTAGGGACTGTATGTGCTGCAACAAACCATACTGGAAAATGGCAGATGAACCCTAAAGCTAAGAAAGCACTTTGAGCCTGAGCTTCCAATTTCATCTGACAGGCTATTATAAAATTTTCTCTAAACTGCAAAAAGAAAACTCCAAGGATTTCTGGATTCTCAAAAGAATAAACAAGTTTCAATTTCTCTTTCATTTAAAGTCTTAACTCTTCACTGCTTTACAGAAAGCAAGAAACCAACATCTGCCTCTCACTGTTAATGACTGGTTAAGCTTTCTCCATTGGGAAACAATCTTCCTGTAATTTTTTTTTCCCTTCTACTTTCTTTCTATTTTTTCCTCTTGTCCAGCAGAAAATTGCCCACAATAATATAGAAATATTGACTATCACTTCAGCCAGAGACACTACCCTCCCTTAACTTTGAATAAATTTGTTTTCAACTGCATTTTAACACAACATAGAATCAATGGAAATATATAAATAAAATGACTACCTGACTATAAAACATTTAGCATCCTATCCAAGTCATAGTATCCACCATCTCCAAAGGCTAGTACCTACATATTTTGAAAGAGAGGTATTCTCTAAGTATATCTTTAATGATAGCAGAAGTGCATATTCATAATTTTTGTCCTCTTTCTTTCAATGCAGATTGACTCCAGGCAGCATCCCTGCCAATTCTTTTTTTCCAATACCATCGGAAAAATAAAACTATGACAAATTACTTTTATTACTTCCTTAAAAAAGAACTGAAACCTGTCCAAAAAACACACAGAGGACAAAATACTAAGTTGGATGACTCAGAGCTTTTGCTGAGTACAACAAGAGTTACGCAATAGTACAATATTTTAAACATAGATTGATGGGGGAAATGTAACTGTACATTAAAACAATGCTTGGAGTGGGCATTAGTTGCTCCATTCATCTATTTTAAAAGAAAACAAAAAGTTACATTTGGATTAATAACTGAATTATTTCATGGATCAGCCAATGTTAGTGTACTGTGTCAGACTCTATCCTGCATTCCTGGTACACTCAGAACTCCTGATGACTTCAGCAGGAGCCTTGCACGTGCTGGGAATGCCCAGTATCAGGCTTGAAGAGACTAGTGCTCTTGTATTGGTTGTGGTCATTGAGGAATGAAACTTTTTATTTAGTAACTATATAATATTAGGGGAATAATTATAAATTTGGCTCAGTTTTCCTACTCTTTGGCCACTTAGGTCTTAACCTTGCTCCAATCGATCAATAGGAACTTTGCAATTGATTTCAGTGGGAGCAAGATCAGTTCTTGAGGCCCAGATTCATGCCTGGTGTAACACCTTTTAGTTCAAGTGGCATTCCATTATGGATGATTCTTGCCCTTTTGGGTAACACAAGTGGCACAAAGCAGCTGGAAAACATCTTAACCACCTAGTGGAGATTTCCTTAGTGAAGGGTGTCCTTGGGTGACACATTGCTACCACTGTGGCTCTAAGCCAGTCCCTGTCCTGGCCTTGTTGTAGGGGGCATTCCCAGGGAATAGGAGCATGGTCAGTGTGTCTCTGGGTTTTGGCTATTCCAGGTTCTTGGAATGACCCCTTGGGGGGGCTTTCACTGCTTTAGCTTATGCCGGATACTTGACGGATCCCAGGCTGATCCTAAGGTTGGGGAGAAAACAAAGGTGATAGAAAGCCACCTATGTTCCCCATTTTCCCCTGTCCTGTGCCAAGCACAGCTCAGCTGGACTGCAGAACCCAGCCCTTTGTTTTTAAACCACTGATGTGAGAGTGAAATCCCAGGGATCAATTTCTGCACTTAGTTACATGAGCGTAACTGACTAACTTAATTGGGGGTTGCACTTCTAGAAGTGAGAGCATACTCTGACCTACATCTTCTGTAGAGGGGATTTGCTGAGGCAGAGGAGTTGCAGCCAGTGTCTCCCCCACTCCGTTTTATATACTTATAATTAGAAAAAAGTTTGTAAGTTGCTTCAAAATAAAACTGAGTGTTCTCATTTTTCCCAAATATTTCCACTTAGCCAGATGAGGTATTTACTTAATGGTGCTGGGAAGAAAAGGAAATGTAGGGAAAAGTTCTATAAACTCATCAAAAGCTCAATTTTCAAAGGCAATGTGTGAATCTCTTTTTAAATAAATGACAATTCATTATCTGTTTACTTTAGGTAAAGAGAAAAAATCATTGTGGAGCACTCATTTTTGCAAGCTAATCAAGAATATTAGGTCCCAACAGATTCATTTAATAGAAATATAATAGGCATTCCTGCTTGTTTTTAACCTTGCCTAGTTGCAAATGCTAAAATGAACAGCAAATTAACCCTGCCTTGGAACAGAGATCCTTTCACAGCTGATATCATCTCTCTTGCGGCTTATAAACATTCCAGGCTCCTTGTCAGTACTTCGCTGGCTTTCACTCCTTCCACAAAAGAGAAGAGGGGGAAAGCGCCTGACTACATTTCACTAAAAAACAGAGGAATAGTTGAATTCTAAAGGGAGTACTGCGTGTCAGCTCTGCTGTGTTTCCTAGCAGAACAAAATATTACAATAGTGTCTGAGAACAATGTAGAGCTAAGATTGGGGTGGGAGGAGGGGGGCCTTTTGCAGCTCTGGAGGCCGGTGGGTTTTTTGTTTTGTTTTGTTTGGTTTTGTTTTCCTTGTGCTTTACTAGCCATTTCCTTCATGGCTCCTTATGAACTACTGTACAAGACAAGACAGTGAGACAAGGCCATTCAAGTTCCATAATCAGATATAAAAGATTTGCAAACAATTTGAGATGTTAAAATTGTTCAATGATATCAGCACTAGCATTAGAACTCTAAACAGGAAAAAAACGATGTAATATTTCATAACGTATGTAATCATGAACAAAAGCCTTTCAAAAAACTATTTTCACTGTGCTAAAGTAACAATCTAGACTTGTTGTAAGTATGTTATTCTTACAAGTAGTTCGCAGTTATTCTTGAAGGCAAGCCTTGGAGTTTCCTTAGCATAGTGCTGCTGGGGAAAATTTTCAGCATGTCCATCTTCATCTCTAGCCTGAAGGGAAATATAATGGCCTATTTAGGGACTTACAAATAATGGAAGAAAAAAATAGCTAAAAGCATAACAGCTCAGATCATTAAAACAACATTATTAAGAAATTTGTTTAAATACGCAGTACACCTTTTAGATATGAGAACTTGGGATGCTGATCGTTACATAGTTTAGGCTCAACATGCAAATTCACTGTGGTGTAATAATTAAAACAACAAGAGACAAACCCAAAATGAAATATTTGAGCTAAAAATTGTGAGCACTTAAGGGTTTCAATTTACTTCATTGCATTTTTCAGGATTACATTACATACGTACTTGTTTAAACTTTTTTTTTACATGCTTAAGCAATTCCGAGATAACGTACCTCTATTTTCATTTTAACAGCAAGGCCATTACAAATAGCTTTTCATACTCATAATTTACATGTAATGCTATTAAAGATAAGTGGATTCTCCTTCCATTTTTAAGTAAAGCTCTGAAAAGAGCAATCATCTAACAAGAACAGTGATTCTTCAATCAAATGTGGTAAAATATTTAATTAAGAAGATGCATTAAAAGTTACTGGTTATTTTGATCTACACTGTCAATTAAGAAAGCTGAAGTTTAAATGGAGACATTAACAGAGCCCATTAGCAATACTGCTTGCATATAGTATTTTCCTTCTAATCTACAACATTTTCTGGTTTAGAGTTAAAGCAAAAGGGAGTAGTAGGTGAAAGGAGGAGTGTCAGCAACACACTCATTACACTGTTCATTTGGGTGACACTTGCACTCTGTTCCGCTTTCATCTCATCTAATCCCTGACTGTTCACTCTTTCTCAGCCTCCTAAAATTCACAGCTGAGCTGTCTCTTTCACATATGGCTTGCATATAATTATGCATATTCCATTTTACACTGCATTAAAATGATGAGCTTCTGGCTCCATGCCAGCTTATTTAAATAGGCCCCCAGTGAACTAGGAAAAAAAAAAGAGGAACACAAAAAAGCCATACAATAAGCAGCAGGTAGCTCGGTTTTCTGTCTCTTTAGATAAAACGTATGTCTGCTGCAAAAGGAACAGCTGAGAATTACCTGTTGTGATGTATGGACTGTGGGAAGGAGGGGAGGAGAGAAAAAACAATGAACACACATCTATGAAGTTATGACAGCACTTACATATTGTTCTTCCTTAATGCAGTGTGAACTGTCTATTTTCATGTGTCATATTCAGAGCTCTGAGAAATTTTTCTTTTTAGTGTTGGCATTTATGAAAGATATTTGCGCCTTGTAAATTCTATAACTTGTTGCTTGTCTTCAGATAAGCTTCTGTCCCTCTTTGTGGAGGTGGAAGATGTTTGGGGCATGAAAGGGGAATGATAGGGTTAACAATACTGAAGTTTTTAAAAAGCATCTATACCTGGTCCAAAGCCACTTGACTCCAATGGTTTCTGAATCAGGCCCCTAACTGTAACTGTGGTGTGGACACTAGCAGACTTCACTTCCCAGGGATGTTATCAATTTAAAATTCACTCATCTGTCTGAAAATGTTTTACAAATAATATCTAAGATAACTATGGCATAACTGTCAACAAGATGAAGGGGAAAATAACTAGGTTTATTTACTTTATATATTTCACAGCACTTTTGTCTCATCTATTGATCGGTTTCCCCTTTTGTCTGTGAAGATCTCTCACACACCAGCTAAGGAGAAAGATTTTTTTTTAAAAGAGGAAAATGTGATTGTAAAAGCACAAAAAACTGACAAGGGACTCAAGCAGGTGAAGTACCTGAAGTTACTTTTAACTCATTTTTTAACTGATGAGATTTCAGTTCACTATGTCTCTTTTATCTCTTCACTTTAAGAATGAACTCTCCCACACACCCCATAAATTTACCCATCCTGCCTTGTGGAACTAAGCATATCCAGGTTAGACTGTGTTGTCTACCCTGCCTTTTCCCTTTTTGAACGCATGCATTGTCCTTCCCTCTCCTTCTCCCTCCCTAGAGGAAGTAGGATTTAATTAAGGGTCTCTAGCAGGCCTTATGCCCATACCACTCTTCCATACCACTCAAGTGCAGCTGGGAGACAAGTACCTATAAAAATGCCCCTCTCAGAGTGGAATTTGAGCTTGTCAGCTTTGTGTCCCAAAGCAGCAGTACAGGGCTACTGACTAAGTCACTAGCTTTTCACCCACTCTGTCAAAAAAGAAAACTTATGATACCCAAATGAGAGAGAGAGAGAGAGAGAGAGAGATCTGTAGGTCCAAGGTAAGTATCATGTAAGGCTCTGAAGTGCTTCTTGGCTTCCACTGAATACAAGTTACAAAGTAATATCTTTAGATACAGTGTAACAGCCTGTACATGACAGTGTACACATTCTAGCTTGTCAGTGACCTTCTGTAGACATGTACTGCTGCGATCTGTAAGTACAAACACACACCTTATAAAACTAAATAGAAATTTGTGTTTATAGTGTGTGTGCATGTCAAAATATACCATCAAACCCTATTTCGCCCTGCCCACCTAACCAAAATTGCCACACAAGCTGATGGCAATGCATTGCCTCCCCTACTTATCCAAACTTTGTTTTATCCAATTTCGAATGTCTCTGACAACTTGTTGGGCAAAATCTACATGTACCTATACTCACAACAATTTAGCTACATGATGCTATCATTTATGATTGTGGTAAAAGTAAATACAATTCAACTGTCTACATCCATAGTTAAAAATTCTTATTCATAGTGGTCAGAGCTATTTCTCCATACCCAACTACTGTGCATAAATCCTCCTCTAGGTTCTATCAGTTGCAAATTACTTTTGAAAGGCTATACTAATGTTCAATATTGTGGGTTTTTTAATAAAAAAAAGGTTGCACTGAGCTTTTCTTTTGGGGGGAGGGTGCCTCTCACTCACTCACAGTTGGAACCATTTGACAACCACCTGTGACAGCCATGCTGACAAAACAGTGAAAGGAAGGCAATCTTTCTCAGTCATCTTTCACAAACATATGCCTGTGAGTTAAGAATGGATAGCACGGTGTGTGCAGGCAAATACAGAACATCAAAAACTGTTGTATTTTCCGTTGAGATCCCTGATCCCTATCTTTTCTTCTCTTTTACTCCCCTACCATCATCCTCAAAGGCCAAACTTCATGCTGACCTTATAGTGAAGCCAGCTCCATTGAGCTGACCATACATTCCTCAAGAGACCGACCATTAGTGCCATTCCATGCTTCGTGGGGGAGGAGTTCTCCCACAGTGACTAAGCAAATTACCTTTGCAGCCCTCCTCGTCTTTGTTTGTCTAGGCCAGGCAGGGACATAGCCAGAGTAGCCTATCAGAATCCACATCACTAACAAAAGGAAGACCTTCAGCTTCCAGAGAGCCCTGGAATCTTTAACTTCCACTTGAGTAAGTCTCAGAGGATGCATACACATAGTAACACTGGTCACTGCAGTATCCCTTTGCTGCCCTGATAGCACGGTGTATGATCTCACATCCTGGAATAGGTCTTAAGAATACTGATCCCAAACCAAAAGTGCAATAAGAGAAGTCACATTGCTATATGTAGTACCCCACAGCCATGCACTGTGCGTAATGCCGTTGACTCGCATTGTCTGAAATGGGTTTCTCTGTAAAGTTTTTAACAGCTTGTAAGTATTTTTAAAATTCAGGATACAACTTTTTTTAAAAAAAAAAACAAAACAGTGGGTGTGGAGTGATTTTCTTAGTTCTATGTTGTGTCCACTCAAGTACTGTGCAAGTTACCTAGGAAAAGAAGTAGCAGTAAGCCATATTCTTTCAGTCCCATGGAAAGAAACTATATAACTCACTCAAGGCTGTCACCCTTAACAAACAGGAACAACAGCAACCTGCAGAGAAATTTTCTCCTCCCATGTCACTGGAATTTCTGCATGGATATTTGTTTCTCCTTGACCTTATTCTTAGTGCAAAATTCTCTCCTTGATCTACAGAGCAGAGCTCTTATCCATAGTGCAGGGTTTTTGGTTTTGGTTTTTGCATACTCCCTTAGTCTTCAGAGAGGAAATTTGTCCTTACCCAAATTATTTAGTATTTAAGTGTAAGATTTTCAAAAATGCCTAATCACTAAATGCTCTCAAGTGTCTTAGGTGCTTTTTTGCAAATTTTATCCATAAATATTATAGGGAACAAGGCAGGTCATGCTGAATTATTTATTAAACTGGGTTTATTAAAGTTAACGGCCTTCTCTAAAGTAGGACAAAGCTTATAAGAAAAATGCACAAAAATCGCACAAGCTAGCCCATGAAAGTACAGTGCTATTTAGCTAAATATGCTTCAAACACCTGGTTGTTAAGGAGAATAATAGCAAATATCTCAGTAACCCAAACTCATAGAATATTTGACTACTTGCATAACAAAACTTGCAGTCCAGTTCCTGTGAAATGCCCTTTCAAACAGATGAGCCATCCCAATATGATAGTTACATCCAGACACATGATAGATGTGCATGATTGGATGTTTCTGGTACGACAATCAGCTGGAAAAGTTTAACAATGCTGCTGTTTAAGTTGCTATAATTAGGTTTCAAAATTAACATCCCGTTAAAATGAATTTCCCCTGTTCATCTCAGTCCTGGTACTGTTGTTTCAGTCAATGTGACTACAGATGCAAAAGACAACAGGGCTGCCATTTTCATTGTGAAGGTTATCGTTTCTACCAGAAGGACATGGAGCTCCCTCTTGTCCCCCAGCAAAGTGTATCTTATGAAGAATACAGCAAAACTTGCAGGAAATCCACAGTTAGATGCTAATCCTTGAAATGCATGGTCCTCTGGATTTCTATTGTCCCAGCTAATCAGTTATTATTATGGTTCCTCTACTCACTTCAACCGGTAATGGTAAAAATAGTTCTCCACTTCCATTTCTGGATATTCACTCCATACATATATTAGTACACTAACTAGCTAAATTGGGGCCTCATCACAAGCCCTGAACAAGGCACAGCCCCAGAAGCAGACTGTGGACCACAGTGGGGGCT